CCGTTCGCGCGTAGTGAACTATCACGATAACCATTCTCAGGTAATATTTTTCGTATTCGTTGTGAAAATTGAAAAAAAACTCTACAATAACTCAAAAAAATGAAGCAATTGTTTGAGAAAATTCGCAAAATGTTGATTCTTTTATTGATCGTTTATAACAACACAAGTGTTGAGGATCGAAAGGTAATTTTTCTACGTATGTATGAATGTATTTTATGATTTTGTGTAACATATGCTTTTTATGTTTTTTTTCAAAAAATCGTCAAAATTATCCAGAGCTGGAATTCCATATAAACTATACATTTTTGGAAAGAACTAGTCCTGGGCTACTTCCAGTTTTTCGGTACCCCGATTCATGTCTTCTCCAAATGCTCTTTGGAGCCACTTGAAAATTCCACTATTTTTGGTAAAATTTGATGATTTTTCAAAAAATCGTCAAAATTATCCAGAGCTGGAATTGCATATAAACTATACATTTTTGGAAAGAACTAGTCCTGGGCTACTTCCAGTTTTTCGGTACCCCGATTCATGTCTTCTCCAAATGCTCTTTGGAGCCACTTGAAAATTCCACTATTTTTGGCAAAATTTGATGATTTTTCAAAAAATCGTCAAAATTATCCAGAGCTGGAATTGCATATAAACTATACATTTTTGGAAAGAACTAGTCCTGGGCTACTTCCAGTTTTTCGGTACCCCGATTCATGTCTTCTCCAAATGCTCTTTGGAGCCACTTGAAAATTCTACTATTTTTGGCAAAATTTGATGATTTTTCAAAAAATCGTCAAAATTATCCAGAGCTGGAATTGCATATAAACTATACATTTTTGGAAGGAACTAGTCCTGGGCTACTTCCAGTTTTTCGGTACCCCGATTCATGTCTTCTCCAAATGCTCTTTGGAGCCACTTGAAAATTCTACTATTTTTGGCAAAATTTGATGATTTTTCAAAAAATCGTCAAAATTATCCAGAGCTGGAATTGCATATAAACTATACATTTTTGGAAAGAACTAGTCCTGGGCTACTTCCAGTTTTTCGGTACCCCGATTCATGTCTTCTCCAAATGCTCTTTGGAGCCACTTGAAAATTCCACTATTTTTGGTAAAATTTGATGATTTTTCAAAAAATCGTCAAAATTATCCAGAGCTGGAATTGCATATAAACTATACATTTTTGGAAAGAACTAGTCCTGGGCTACTTCCAGTTTTTCGGTACCCCGATTCATGTCTTCTCCAAATGCTCTTTGGAGCCACTTGGAAATTCCACTAGTTTTGGCAAAATTTGATGATTTTTCAAAAAATCGTCAAAATTATCCTGAGCTGGAATTGCATATAAACTATACATTTTTGGAATGAACTAGTCCTGGGCTACTTCCAGTTTTTCGGTACCCCGATTCATGTCTTCTCCAAATGCTCTTTGGAGCCACTTGAAAATTCCACTATTTTTGGCAAAATTTGATGATTTTTCAAAAAATCGTCAAAATTATCCTGAGCTGGAATTGCATATAAACTATACATTTTTGGAAAGAACTAGTCCTGGGCTACTTCCAGTTTTTCGGTACCCCGATTCATGTCTTCTCCAAATGCTCTTTGGAGCCACTTGAAAATTCCACTATTTTTGGCAAAATTTGATGATTTTTCAAAAATTCGTCAAAATTATCCAGAGCTGGAATTGCATACAATCTATATGTTTTTGGAAAGAACTAGTCCTGGGCTACTTCCACTCTGCCGGTACCCCGATTCATGTCTTCTCCAAGTGTCTGTTTTTTGCATTTGAAAATTCTATATTTTACTACCATATTTGACGAGTATAAAATTATTTTAACTAATTTTTATTTTATATATTAATTTTTTGAATATATTTTAATATAATTTTACTTTATTTCTTAAAAAACATTTTATTTGGTGCTCGTTTTATTAAAAAATAAATTTTAATTCATTTGAAAACGAATTTTATAGTATGTGGAACGTATTTGACATATGTGGTGTGGGACGTATCTGGCCGACGAATTTAACTTCACACCCTTTATTATTTTTTTGTGCCAGGGATCAAGTATGTTCAAACTCATAACAATTGATCCAATAATTCCCATAGCCCCCAGACAAAGGTGTATATTCCCGGATATAAGTTTATCATTAATAACTCCCTAAAATATATCGGTATCAACACAAAATTTTGTACATACAAATATAATATGAATAGAAATCATACTACCAACGTAGATCTCAGACGGTCTACAATTGGTCATAGCTCCCATGTAAGGTCTACTTCCAAAAATCACCTAAACTCACATATTTCATTGAGAAATAAAGCTTTGATAAAATTCGAGCTGAATATGTTTTGGATACATACAAATCATTCTACCAAATTTCTTTTCGGATAGGTTCATTATTAGTCATAGCTCCGGAAATCACTTAAACGCACATGTTTAATTGTCAAATAAAGGTATCTTGATAAAATTCGACACAAATATGTTTCGTCTATATATGAATCGGATAAGACCATAATTGGTCATAGCTCCCATATAGGGCCCACTTCCGAAAAACATTTAAACGCATATGTTTCATTGATGAATAAAGCTATCGGTATAAAATTCAAGATGTGTGTTTTGTATACGTATAAATCATTCTAACAATTTTTCCCCGGATCGGTCCATTATTAGTCATAGCTCCCATATAAGGCTCTCTTCCGAAAATTATTTAAATTCACATATTTTATTGCTAAATAAAGCTATCTTGATAAAATTCGACACAAATATGTTTTGTGTACATACATATGAATCACTTCTTTTTCTGGAGGCCCATAATTTGTCGTAGCTCTTATATGAAGTCAAGTTATCTAAAAATTAGATAGTTAAATGGTTTTTAATAAAAAGTTGCTTGCTGGTGGAGGATATTTAAGATTCGGCATAGCCGAATATAGCACTCTAACTTGTTAACTTCTGAGGTTAGACCTATTAAACGCCAAATTTTATGTAAATAAGTTTATTAGTTATGTAGTGAAAAAGTAAAAAAAGAGTTTCATATATATTTATTATTATATATTATAGGTTTTGAAGATGTAATGTGTCGTACTGTTCATACCACAACATTCATTATAATAGATTTCATGAAAATCGGATCAGTAGTTTTTTGTACGCCTGAACGTAAATTTGGTTTAATAATTGTTTTACAAAAAGTTGGCGTAAAAAGGGGCGTGGCGTCCGATTCTGGTCCTGAGATAAGATCTATCGGTTCAGTAGTTTTCTGTAAGTCTCGAATGAAAATTTTGTATAACAATTGTATAGAAAAAAGTGAGCATAAGAAGAATCGTGACGTCAAATCATTATTTTATATAGGCCCTTGTTCTACTTTAGAATAGAACTATTAGTGTTCTAAATTTCATGTAAATCGGTTCAGTAGTTTGTCCGAGAAAGCGTAACAAACATTCTTTTTAATATAATTATAGGATAAGATATAGCTAAGGATAGTTTTATAAAAAGTTGGCGTAGAAATGTTCGTGGTATCGGATCAAGTTCTTATATAGCCAATAGTTCTTTCGATCGATATGCAAAATTTCAGGTTAATCGGTTTAGTAGTTTTGGCATATTGTGATTGTAAAATTGGTGTAATAATAGTTTTACAAAAAGTGGGCGTAAAAAGGGGCGTGGCATCCGATCAAGATCTTATACAGCCTATTGTTCCTTTTGGGGTTAGACCTATTAGCTGTCTAAATTTCATGTAAATCGGTTCAGTAGTTTTGCCGTGAAATAACAAACAAACAGTCTGTTTTATATATACAGTATTGTTCGAAACCTAAGCAACTTTTTTTGGCATTGTATACAAAGTGCTATATTTTCTATTTTAATTGATTTATTCAAAATTATATAAATGATAATAATATGTGTCTACATTATAATAACAACAACAAAATTTTAATTCCATTTCGATGTGAGTTACAAGAAAATAATAACTGAAATAACTCCATAAATAGCTGTTCGAAACTTAAGCAAATTTTTGATCTTCTTATGAAAATCTTTGGTCCCATTGAGTTCCAAACACCTTTATGGAATAGATTAGTTACTAGTGTAGTTCGTAATGATTCCCAATCGGATTTTAAGCTATTCGCTCCTGCAATGTTTTCTAAAACGGCGAGATCCGAAACAGCACTTCAAAACGCCGAACAGCATCTCTAAGGGATTTGAGTCGGAAAATTTTGATGGACAATCAAAGAGTTTGGGTCCTATTACCCAATAACAACTCTTAGATCAACTTTGGTTCATTATCATGCTGAAAATCGCAATAAAGTAAGTTGTTCTGTACTTAATCCTATGATTCATTTTGTTGGCCAAAAATGTCCCAGAAAGTAAAACAATCCAATTTTATTTGCATTTCAACATCAGGACTTACTCTACTCACTATAAGCGAAAACTACCGTATATGAATGGATGTTTTAACTGTATTCCGGGGCCATATGAATGGAAAATATTTGTGTCGGACGGACATGAGAGTTTTTCATAAACAAATTTTGGGGAAACTATGGGGAATTCAATTATAGTGGGGATTTTTGGGGACATCAAGCTTAAGATTGGGGACATGAGTCAACATTTTTCTGGCAACACTACTACGGATACACAATAATAAAATTTTAGCACAAAGATTTGTTAGAATTATTGCACAATAAAAAAACTTATATTGTTATCAATACATTGACCAATTTGAAATAGACTTTTGGCTACATTACGCATATATTTTACATGGCTTAATCAACTTTCAAAAACTTGAATTTAGCCCTTTTTTCAACGAATTTGCACTTTTTTACTGTCATTTTGCACAAAAAGTCGAAAGTTCAGTATAAAATTGGTAGTGTAGAATCGATTACAAAATAATAGAGTTTTACAGCAATAATCGATTAATAATCATAATCGAAATCCATTTACCATTCCCGAATTTCGGGGTTGTCATAGAATACAGTGATTGGATTCATCACAACCCTGATTACATAATATTGTTTTTCCAACTTACAACTTTTTACAATAGAATCGGTGATGCACCTATCCAATTTTTTCCCAAATTCATCTTCAGCGTAAAGTACTTGATTGTTTTTAGTATTCATTTTTTGTATTTTTTTAATTTATAGCTTTTTATTTTCAAAATGCATAAAATCCGTGTTCAAAACAATGTGAGGAACGGAGTGCGAAGGCGATCGAAATTACGACGGCGGTTAGGATTGGAAAGACGGCGGCACCACGAATTCACATAAGGTGGTGTCAGGGTGCACTCATAAGGTGAAGTCAATTCAACAGCTGATCACTCATATTTTTATTTGAGGTAGATACAACTGTCAAAGTACACCATTTAGAGTTGCCACAATCCGTAAAAATATGTACATCTGCCTAGGGATTCATTATATTTTTAGGACAAAAAATTAATAAATTTTATATTCATTTTAATCCGTAGTAAAATTATGCGAAATACTCAAAAATTGCACAAACTATTTGTCTTAAATATGCATCTATTTTATCAATTATAGGGAACTTTTTACTAATCAATTGAGAGTACAAACATCCCACAATTGTAAATAAAATTATTAAATTTGATTTTATCATAGATATCTTAATTTTTAACAACTTTCCATGGTAGTGGTTTGGTCACATTTCTATAAAGATCATTATATATTTCTTATACGACAATGGTAGAGACCTTCACGGTATTATAAGTTCCCAATATTGACTGATAAAAAATAATATGTATATAATTTGTATTTTTGCTACTACATACTTACAATTTTGTAATCTAATATTAATTTTTTGTTATTTTAATTGATAATTTATTTACTTTTTTAATAATAAATAATATTCTAACCCTCTTATTCACAAACAATATTTTTATTTTATTAAAGGTTTATAAAACAAAATTTCCATACAAAATACCGTTTATAAAATAAAAATTTTGTTTGTGAATAAGGGAGCTTACCCTTATTTTTCAATTCATGTATAATTTTTAATAAATTTTATCTTATAATACATATTTACTTTACGTGAAGAGATTTTTGGCAAAATCTGAAAACACTAGTTTTTAATTCCCGGGATTCCCGACTGAAATTCCCGGGAATCGGGAAGCTAAAAATCACTACATTTTCCGGGAATTTCAGTCGGGAATCCCGGGAATTAAAAACTAGTGTGTTGAAATAAAAGAAGGGAAGCGCTCAAGTTCAAATCAATTCACTTTATTACAAAAAAGGGAATTTTAAAAATCCTAAAAATACAATTTATATACATATATTAAATCAAAAGGTATATTTTAAATATTAATTTACTTCAGTATAGCTTCCAATCAATTAATTTATTCCTTCGTGATTTTTCGGCAACCAGATTAATACTCTTAACGATACCATTTGCCATGTATCTCTTCTTCTTGTACTTGGGTAACTCATAACTATATTACAATGATTACTCAAAAAATAGTCGGTAGCTTTATAGTTGCCATGTCTTTTTAACACTCCCCCCCAGTATATCCTTCTGTGGATCTACTTCGTTATCAATTGAAAGCACGGCAATCTTAGCGGCAGGTCGTTCATATACCCCAGTGGCAGTTTTTACGGAAGCGCTTCGAACTTGTCCATCAGGCCCAATTTTGACATCGACTATTTTACCTTTTGGCCAACAATTTCTGGGGTTGTTTGGGTCAACGATAAATACCACATCTCCAATCTTAATAGGCTCGACGTTTTGAAACCATTTGGATCTGCGAGTAATCATTGGCAAATATTCTCGGACCCAACGTATCCAAAATGAGTCTGCCATTTGCTGGGTGGCTCTCCACCCACGCCGCAACATGGTTCCGTTGGCTTCAGGGAGTGCCAAAGGTTTCATACCGTTAGAGCTACCGTGGAGGAAGTGGTTGGGTGTCAAGGACTCAGCCTCTTCATGTTCGATTGGAATGTAAGTAAGAGGGCGTGAATTAATTATGTTCTCAACTTCAGCAAAGGCCCCTCTTAAAATCTCATCAGTGAGTCTATATCTTGGTAGAACAGATGATAGTGATGATTTCACCGACCTGACTAGACGCTCCCAGGCACCTCCCATATGTGGGGACGATGGTGGGATGAAGTGCCAGGACATGGACGAGTTAGTGAAGGTTTTAACAATTTCATTTTGATCCATCAATTGAAAGGCTTCACTCAATTCACGTTCAGCTCCACGAAAGTTGGTGCCATTATCACTCCACCACTCCCGCGGGGTACCCCGACGAGCAATAAAACTTCTTATGGCGATTATACAGGATGTTGTGGATAATGAATATGCTATTTCGAGATGTACGGCCCTAGTTGTTAGACAAGTAAACAACACCCCATAACGTTTTTCAGAGCTACGACGTATTATGACTAATAAGGGACCAAAATAGTCTATGCCTACATAGGTAAACGGACGGCAAAATGAAGCCACTCTGGGCGACGGCAGAATGGACATCTTTGGAGGCTTTGGCTTATCATTTTGAATTATACACATTTGACACGACTTTCGAACCTTTTTCAAAACACTTCTAAGTCTTGGAATCCAAAAAGACTGTCGTATCTCATTTATCACAGTTTCGTGGTTACTGTGAAGATATGTAACATGATGAAAAGCTACGAGAAGAGTAGTGACATAGTGTTCTTTGGGTAGTATTATTGGGTCCTTGCGTCCACTGATTTGCACTCTGCTTCCCAATCGAATTACTCCGCTGTTATCTAGGTATGCTGACAGTTTATACAAATTACTGGATGGCGTTATGGGAAGATTTCTACTCAATAGCGTTAACTCATCTCCAAATACTTCTGCTTGGGTACATTTCCAGATCACGATTTCTGCGGCAGCTATATCTGCTTGAGTTTTTAAATACACAACTTTTTCCCCTTTAACCTTGTTTTTTATTATTCTAGCTATCTGTAGTACAGTTGAAGTTGCACCAACAAATCGACTCCATTTAGAAAAACGCTCCGGATTTATAGGAAATGTAAAACTTGATACCTTTCTGTGAATTCCAATATACTGTGGCCTTAACTCTTCTAATGTACCATCTTCTTTTGTTTCCTCGTGCCATGAAATATTGTGCCTTTGAAGAAACTCAGGGCCGGTAAACCATCGACTGTCTCGAGAAAAGTGTGGTGTTTTCTGCCACTTTGTCGCTTCATCAGCTACGTTGTCCGTAGACGGAACCCACATCCATTCATTCTGATAGCTCAAGAATTTCACTTACCCTGAAGGCGACAAATTGAGAATATTTGCGGTGGTCCGACCGTATCCACGCTAGAACTGTTTTAGAATCTGTCCAAAATACTTGACGATTGAATTTCAATTTAAGGGATGAAGTCACATTTTTTGCAAATCGAGCTCCTAGCAATGCAGACTGGAGTTCCAATCTAGGAATGGACATTAATTTAAGTGGAGCCACCTTTGTTTTGCTTCCAATAAGACTGCACTTACTTCCACATCCACTATCGTACCGAATATACAACACAGCTGAAGCGTCAACAAATGTGTGTAGCTCAATACCATTTCTTAGCAAAGCTGTATCGTGAAAGTAATATCGCGGTATGTTTAGTTGTTCGGTGTTGTGTAAGTTCTGACTCTTTAATATCCTCATCCCAAGAACAGCCACTACGCCAAATTTCTTGTAAAATTACTTTGACATACATGACGTAAAAACCAACTAGCCCGAGAGGGTCAAAAATGCTCATCACTGTGCTAAGCACTTGTCTCTTCGTTGGTTTACAGCTACCTTTAAGATGTTTGCAATCTTTATATTTTTGAGATACTCTAAATGAAAAACAATCTTCGGAGGCCAACCACCACATGCCCAATACCTTCTCTGGTCCCATAGCTTTATCTACATCTAAGTTTAAATCATCTGGTTCTGCGTTTAAGGCTTGTAAAACATTTTTCGAGTTCGATCGCCAATTTCTAATGGTGAAACCTCCCTGAGCGTGTATGAAACGGACATCTTTTGCCAATTGTACAACATCTTTTTCTGTATCTGTGCCGTCAAGTAGATCATCAACGTAGTGGTTGTGAACGATAGCTTCCACCGCCCTAGAGTAAGTAGTACGAAATTCTTCTGCGTTAAGGTTTTTACGAATTGGGCAGCGCTTGGCGAGCAAGTTGCTCCAAAGGTCATAACTGTGAGAGCATATTCGTTGGGCTCCGCTTTTCCTTTTTCATACCATAAAAAACGCTGATAGTTTTGGTCTTCTTTGTGTATTTTTACCTGATGGTACATCTCTTTAATATCACCACTTATAGCAAAACGGTGTTGACGAAATCTTCTTAGGACGTCGACTAAAGGAGAAGTAAAGTCTGGACCCTTCATTAGCATTGAGTTGAGCGAAACTCCATTCACTTTGGCAGCTGCATCCCACACAAAGCGTAGTTTTGCTGGTTTACTGGGGTTAACGACAGGAAAAATTGGTAAGTACCAACTGTTTTTTGACCGGGCCTTGTTTGGCAGTGGAACAGCATAACCTTTACACAGGTACTCTAAAATTTTCTCTTCCATAGCTGCATACAACTGTGGATCTTTCGCCAACTTCGAAGAAAGGCATAAAGCTCTCCTCTTTGCCATGGGAAAACTATCAGGAGGTGCTATTCTCGGTTGTTTCCACAGCAATCTTGTCTCATAACGGTCACCCAACTTTCGTATATTCTTTTTTAACAAATTTAAACCTTTTACATCTTCCGCCGATAAGGTGTTTTGGCTATTTTTGGCTACATCCATATTATCAAGCAAAATATATCGCTTTACGGTTCGTAGCAATTCTTCGCATTCATTAGCATCAGTACAAGTGTGGAATGCATTGAGTCCGACAGTATCAAGTTTAAATGTACATGGACCCTTCACTGACCATCCGAGACGAGTTTTTTCAGCAACTGGTTCGCACACGTTTCGTTCGCGTATTTTCATGCTTGCACCCAACCAACTGTTATTCAAACCAATTAGAAGTTTAGGTTCTGCATCAACATATGACGATAATGGAATATCTTTCAAATAACTATATTGCATCTTGAGTTCGGCAACATCAAGGCTTTGCTTTGGTAGATCTAGGCTCTTTACGGTATGTACATTGTTTAAGTCAAGAGCTCTTTTATAAGGGTCGCCCGATATTTTTAGATTAAGCACTTCAGACTCCTCCTCATATCGATGAGTGTCACCTGTCCATTTTAAGCATAGGGGACTAGGTGTTCCCTTCAAATTTAGATCTCGAAGTAAGCTGTCTTCCATTAATGTAAGTGATGAACCATCATCGAAAAAGGCATATGTTTTTATTTGAGTACCGTTCCCATACAATATAACTGGAACAATACGAAACAGTACCGCATTTTCTGGTTTTCTAACAATATTACAAATCCCTAGTGTATTCTTATGGAGAAGGGGATGGTGTAAATATTGACAACCATTTATACCGCAAAGCTGAGTAGATTGGCATTCTGCAAGATAATGGGGTGTTAGGCATCTTCGACACAACCTGTATGTGCGTACTAATTCCCATTTCTTCGACCTACTAAGGTTTTTGAAACTTTGGCATGAAGGTAGGTTGTCACATGCGTTACCACATGCTATACAATTTGTCTCGTTCTCAGGCTCAAAATGTGTATTAACGTTTCCACGTTTAGTGGGTTTACCACCGTAACGTTCTGGTACTATAACACTGTTTGCGCCTTGGGCCAACTGGAAAAGCCACGAACCAAAATTTTCAAGGTTACACGAAGATAGAGAGAGCTTATGCATTCCCCAAAAGGCTGCAATAATTCCGGGAAGTTTAAGAACCAGTTATTGTTCAATTTCCGGATTGTTTAAATAGTCCTTCAAATTAGCTGATTTCATTGTGGCGATTACATTTTGAACCTCTAAAGCGAAATCAACCAGGGACTCTAATTTATTTTCTTTAATAGGCGACAACTCTCTTACACGTTTCAGAAGAATGTTAAGGACTATTTCTGGCCTGCCAAATTTAATTCTTAGGGTCTCTATAATTTGCGGTACGCAGGAAGCATGAAATAGCAAATTCCGTACAGCTTTTAATGCATCACCTTCCAAAGAATTTCTAAGACGTAACAAATTCTCGCTATCACTAAATCCACATATCTCTGTTGTTTGTTGGTACGTTGCAAAAAATAGAGGCCAGTCCTCTGGGTTACCATTAAATTTTGCCAAGTCTCTTGCAAAACTTTGTCTAGAGGCAATCTGTTCACGTGTAAGTTTGGTAGATATGGGGTTGTGGTGTATTTTCGTAGATACCTCAGGAACGACTCCAGGCAACCACTGAGAAATAGAACACGGTTCCTGAGATACATTACCTTTCAGCTCTAACTCACTTAGCCTACACGCCATGGTGTTGATTATACTCCTCATTTGGGTTAAACCTGCATTATTACCTAGCTCCGGGTATTGGTTTTCAAATTCCGTAGCTTTTGTACTTTCAGCATCGGGACCTACATTTTTATTCTGTTCATTGTGCCAACCCTCAGCCTCGTCGTCGCTACCATTCTCCATTTGTTTCAGCAACTCTTTCTTTTTATTCAGAATTGTCTCCTTTTGCAGTAAGAAAAATGAAGATTTTTAAAAAATGTTGAAATAAAAGAAGGGAAGCGCTCAAGTTCAAATCAATTCACTTTATTACAAAAAAGGGAATTTTAAAAATCCTAAAAATACAATTTATATACATATATTAAATCAAAAGGTATATTTTAAATATTAATTTACTTCAGTATAGCTTCCAATCAATTAATTTATTCCTTCGTGATTTTTCGGCAACCAGATTAATACTCTTAACGATACCATTTGCCATGTATCTCTTCTTCTTGTACTTGGGTAACTCATAACTATATTACAATGATTACTCAAAAAATAGTCGGTAGCTTTATAGTTGCCATGTCTTTTTAACATAGTGTTTTCAGATTTTTACATAAAAATTACTAACGAAGTTTTTCTCTATCTTAACGGAAATTTTTAAATATAAAAATGTAAATAATAACAAACTCTGACATCAGTGCGTACCAGTCAAGTGAAGAAAAAAATAATCAGCTGATCATTTTTTTCGTGAACGAAACCCTATATTTGGTTGGTTGGTTGTTCAGGCTGCAATAGATGCACACGTGGGTCCTTTTGGTCCCTTTGTGATACCTGTAAATATATTAAAAGAAAAGAGGAAGAGGACATAGAAAGTTATGGTAAGAGAGATAGTGAAGAGAAATTAAGGGGGTATTAATAGTAGTAAAAGACACTGAAAGACGGTGATAAGATAGTCAGAGAGAGGTTGAAGTACTTAGACGGAAAAGAGTCTCGAACTCGAAAAAGCTACTGATCAGTGCTATTTGAGTTTGTGTCGTCAAACCAACCGCAGTGGCTGATAAAGGCGTTTAGGTTATCTATTTTAATCCCTGATAACTCTGAGGTGTCCTCCAGAAATCGATGTCACAGATACCAAAGACGGATGTCCTGCAGTGCCGGACAGTGGCAAAGAAGATGTTCTATTGATTCCTCTTCTTCCTTATCTTGACAGCTTCTGCAGTAGTCATTATAAGGCAATCCAAGTCGCATTGCGTGGTTACCAAATTTACAGTGACCAGTGATGACAGCTATAGTTATGCTGAGTTGGGTTCGGCTGTATCGTAGAAGATGGTCCGTGCGCTCTTTATCAAGCTTTGGCCATATCTTCTTTGTCTGAGTGCAGTTGGCTCATTTTCCCATCTTGCTTGTGAGAGTTCATTGAACATGTTATCTATAAGTCTTTTGCATACTCCTATCGGAGTACCGCAGAAATGGTCTATGTCCGAGTCGGGCAATTGCGTACCCGCCTTCGCGAGCTCGTCGGCGATACAATTGCCTGTAGAGTCCCCGTGTCCTCGTACCCATACGAGTACGATGTTTGAATGTCTCGCCATCCTATTTAAGGATGTCCGGCATTCCTGGACTAGTCGTGATGTAGAGTATACACCTGTCAGGGACTTAATTGCAGCTTGACTGTCGGTAAAGATTAGGATATCTCTGTTTGATATCTTATGATACCAGAGCCAGTTTGACGTTCTTTTTATGGCCGATATTTCAGCCTGGATTGGATTACAGTCATTACCTATTCTAAAAGTAATCCTGATTCCAAATTCCGGAATGAAAATACCGCCCCCTACTCGTTCTCCTCGTTTTGAGCCATCTGTGTATACGGATAGGCTTCGTGGAGAGCGATCTTCCTCCAGTCCCATATTTTCCGAGATGATGAAACTGAAGTTTCTCTGGAGGAAGGGCGTGGGGACGCAGTAATCAATATTTACCGGTAGATTTCTTATCCTATCGGTAATACTAGCATGTCTATATGGTTTATACGACCATACGTTTATTGCATTCAGTCTGAATGCCGTCGTGAGTGCTGTTTTACTGGCCAGCAAGTCCGTCGGGATCCAATTAAGTAGCACGAATAGGGATTTCGTCGAAGTTGATCCCAGCGATCCAGTTATCAGGATCGACATTTTCCTTAGAACCTTGTCAAGGATTTTACAATTTGAGTTCATATTTAGTGCTTTCCACCAAAAGGTAGTTCCATAGAACAGAATTGGCCTGATGACCGCTTCAAAGATCCATTTCACTAATTTGGGTTTTAACCCCCATTTTGCTCCTATCGCCTTTTTGCAAATGTGCATTGCCGTTATGGCTTTTGTAGACCTTGCTATGATGTTGGGTTTCCATGATAATTTGCTATCAAGAATAACCCCTAAATATTTAGCGCTGTCCGAAAGTGGTAATTCAACTCCGTTCAGACGAGGCAGTGTAAAAGAGTCAATCTTATACTTCCTAGTAAATAGTAAAAGTTCGGTTTTGCTCGGATTCACACCTAGACCACTATCGATACTCCATCGACTTAGTATTCTGAGTGCAACTTCCAGCCTCTGTGATAATGTATTCAAGTGGATTCCTGATACTGCTACAGCAACGTCATCTGCGTAGGCAACAGTTTTGTATCTCATGGAATCCAGTGTCTTGAGTAAACAGTTAATGGCGACATTCCACAGTAATGGAGAGAGAACGCCTCCTTGTGGTGTGCCTCTGTTCACCTTTCTGTGGATCGTTGCTGTGCCCATATTGGAACAGATGATCCGTTGTTCCAGAAGTTCTCAGAGCTGATAGAATTGTGGCAGGTTTTACATTGTTAAAAGCACCTTCTATGTCCAGAAAGGCTACTAACGTGTACTCTCCAAATTCGAGTGATTTCTCTATGTGACCAACTAAAGAATGCAGTGCAGTCTCAACCGATTTGCCTTTGGTGTATGCGTGTTGAGAGGGCGATAAGAGAGACGGATTCAATGACGTTCTGATATGAACGTCAATGATTCTCTCTAAGGTTTTAAGCATAAAGGAAGATAGACTAATCGGTCTATAGTCCTTCGCTTTGGTGTGTGTGACTTTCCCACTTTTAGGAATGAACGTTACTTTGCACCTAGTCCATTGGTCAGGTATGTAGGACCAGGTGAGGCAGGCTTGAAATATGGTTCGTAGCCAGGGTGTGACTAGATCTATGTTGTGTTGTAGATCAGCAGGTATGATACCATCCGGGCCTGGGGATTTATATGGGTCAAAAGTGTTAATTGCCCATTTAATAGCATCCTCGTCGAACTGAAAGCCGGTGGGGTGCTGATGAAAAGTGCCTGATCTTGCCGTTGAGTTATCCAGAGGCAAGTTACCAGGGAAGTGAGTGTTCATCAATTCTGTTAATGATTCATGTACGCTCGTTGTCCAACTACCGTCAGGCTTCTGAATGAAGCTCTGAACGGTCTGTGATTTTGTTAGGATTTTGCGCAGGCGACTGGTCTCAGAGGAGTTTTCAACATTACTGCAGAAATTCTTCCAAGACCTGCTTTTGGCGTTCCTAACCTGATTTTTGAACCTATTCAAGGAGGACATGTATAAAGACCATTCTCCTGATCTTTTGGCCTGATTGAATAATTTGCGGCATTCTTTGCGGGTCTTCGCTATTTCGGGGGACCACCAGGGTGGTTTTCCTTTCTTCCTTGGTATGGAGGGTTTGCAAGTGACCTTAGTTGCTTCCTGGAAAGAGCGGGTAAGTTTATTTACCGCATTTTCTATATCTACTGTGTTATGTATAACCGTGATCTGCTGAAGGAGACAGTTTAGGATCCGGCTTTGTTCGGTCCAGTTTGTTTTCCTTCTATTTAGAAAGGGTAGATTCCTCTCCTTAGTTAACTCTAATGAGAATTCGAGATAGCGATGATCTGAAAAAGAACATTCATCCGAAACTTTCCAATTGCGGACTAAATGAGAATGGCTTGCACTTACAAGCGTTATATCCAGTACCTCCTGTCGATTTGCAACTACGAAGGTAGGTTCTGAGCCTATGTTTACTACAACTAAATTATGGTTAAGTATGAAGTCTAGAATGTACTCACCACGTGTGTTGATGTTGCTGCTACCCCAGATCGTGTGGTGGGCATTTGCGTCTGCGCCCAAGATGACAGGAGTGCGGGTTGAGTTTGCTGCACGAATTGCCCGGGTGACCGTATTGCTGGGAGGAGGGTCATTCTGATCGTGAGCCATATAGCAGGAGAGGATCCACAGAGTGGATTCCTCTGTCTCCCATGCTGCAGTTACTGTATCTTCATCACTGTAATCAGATAAAATGAAGATATTTAAGGGGTTTTTGGCCAATATGCAAGATCTAATTTTACCTGTGCTTTTTGCATACAAAAGTTTGTAGCCTGTTGCATTGAGTCCAAGGATATTGCCGTTATGGGTCCACGGCTCTTGGATCAATACTAAATCCTCGCCTTGATCTCCAAGGCGGAGGAGTAATGCAGCCGAAGCTGCTTTAGAGTGGTGAAGGTTCACTTGGATCACATTCACCATGGTCTGGGTCGTAGATGACGGTTACGTCGACGTCCTCTGTTTCATTCAGGGGATCGTCGTCGTCCTCCACTTAGCACTGACTAGTGAAGAGGTCGCCAAGCACGGCTGAGCTTGTTTGGGAGTTCTTCATTTCGTCAGTGTCGGCGGGGTCATCTTGATTTCCTCCGTCCGTGCTCTGCGGGGCTTTGGGGTCGAGTTTGTCGTCACCCCGACCAACCAACCAACCAACCAACCAACCAACCCTATATTTAACCGACCGGCGGCAGCTATCTTCTACGTTACCCCCTGTCTATATTTGACAAATATTTATCACAGCACTTGACAAAACGTCGGCAGAAAAATTTTCAGTTTTTTGTTTATGTTAATACATAGTGGTAACAAAATGTTGATTTTATCACGACAACTCACAGATAATTTTATTGAAATAATGCTATATTTTATAAAAACAATTAAAATTAAATGCAAATTTTGTAAATAAACACTAATTTCACTAAAACTTATGCTAAAAATCAATTTTAATTGCACAAAAACAAAATTCTAAGCAAATTTTCCAACAAAATGATGTTTATTATCAAGACAACATTGTCATAACGACGTTATAACGTTAATAAATGCCGTCTGTACCTGCTTTTTTATCCTGATAACAATTTGACGTTTAGCATAATAAATATTTGTCTAATATAGACAGGGAGTTATGGTCAAATTTTGAGAACTAAAAAAAATTTATAAAATTATTTATATTTACACTGTGTATATAATATGATTAACTAACAAAATTCTGTTCCGTAACGCTTTTTATAACAAAACCATATGAAGTATTTAACCGTCCGGGGGGTAATTTACACTACATCGTGTAAATCTTAAAAATTACTTCGCCGAGAAGAACTTTCCATTTATTTATTATTTCCATTTATTCGTACATTTTTATGTTTATTTTTCACAAAAATATTAATTTAACATAATTTTGGGCACAAATTTAAGTATCGTAAAATTAATTTGCCGGAGTAGAATTTTTCATTTGGAACAAACATTATTCCACTCAGGGTATATTATCTTCACAAATTTTAAAATTTTTATGTGTATTTTTTATAAATTATAAAAATTTCTTCTTCTTCTTCGAGATTGACGTTTACACAAAACGTCAAATAGGCAAAAAACAATGCCAGATGATTATAAAAACCCGCCGTAAACGCTAGGTTCTTTAATGCGGAATTTGATCCAATCCAAAAACGACAGTTTCAATTTTGAAACAATGTTAGTATTATAATAAGTAAAATATCACAGTCATAGACAAAACAGTATGTTAATACAAAAAACATACATATATACATTTATTTTTCCGTTTTTTTTTTATAAACGACTTTGCTATTAATTTGCTTAAGCAAATTAACAAAAGACAATACTAATGCGAATTTGCGACCAGCACAAACAATATGTAATATACATAAAACATAAATAAGACAATACAAATTAACGTATCACAGACATGTTCATAAATACAAAAAGAGGACTTTGTGTTAAACTTAAATTTTAAAATTTGATAACTTAAAAAACTTATATAGTAATGAGAAAATTTTGAGATCATTGAGTTTCAATAAATTTTTAATATTAAAGTTAGGAATGTTGAGGTTATTCAAATAGCTGACAAGACCTTGACGCGATGAGACATCACCCTCAGGGCAGTGTAGCAACAAGTGATTTGTTGTCTGTACGCTTCCACAAGTACATATATTATCATTTGTGATATTGATTTTATAAACGCGATCTTTACAAGTTGTGTGGTTGATTTTCAATCTATTGATTAAGGTGATTTTGTGTCGTGAGAATCCACTAGCCCTAAACCATGGCTCCTTGTTCACTAGTGGGGCAATGTTGTACAAATGGCGACCATGATCAGAGTTGTCCCATCGAGTTTGCCAATTACATATGGCAGTCGAACGATCGGATGCTCCCAAGTCCATATGAAAAACAGCATTTGTGTTATCATTGTAAGTGTGAGAAGATGCGATTTTATCTGCTTGTTCGTTGCCATCAATTCCCATGTGACTGGGGATCCACAAAAAATGAACCACAGTATTGCGTATCCTGAGTGAATATAGTAGTTCTCTGATATCATAGATGTAAGGGTGGGTACGACTTGATGGAGGTGATTCTAAAGCTGTAAGAACCGGTTTATTGTCGGATAGGATCAGAAAACGTCCCTGGTCCTGACAGCTGATCAGCTTAAGGGCTTCGATAACAGCGAGGGCTTCTGCAGTGTAAATTGATGATTGGGGGTGGAGTGGAAAATAACCTTCGATATCCAAGTCGGGGAACCAGATACCGCTACCAACAGCAGAGTTGGATTTAGAGCCATCGGTATAGACAAGGCTGAAGTTTTTCCATTTTGAACGTATGTATTTAGAGAAAATTGAACATACTTCCAAAGGCGTTGTTGATTTCTTTGAGACTGGTAGGTGTTTCACCAATACCTTAAAATGTAACGATTCGTATGAATGTAGAAAGCTGGGATGAGACGATAATTTTACGATGTTAAAATTTGAGTATTTTATATTGAAATAGTTAATAAATTTAGTCTTATGTTGGTAGTTCAGTAACTCAAGAATAAACTTACGGGCAGGATGGCTCTCGTTCGAGACCACTTTTCCCATCAATTTATTAGTTAGATACTCGAGACGTTCAGATATAGGCATTACGTTAGCCAGCTGTTTCAGGCAAAGAGTGTGTGTGGACGTCATAGCACCCAAAGCGATACGAAGACATTTCCATTGTATTCTTTTTATCTTGAGGAGTTCGGCATCAGTGCAATCAAGTAATATAGGTGAAATGACACGCCACATAGTGAGCGCAAGATATTAACAAATTTAAAGCATCTGCTTGATATATAACTGATGTGGCTTTTTAGAGACAATTTTTTATGAAACATAAATCCCAGAAAATTAAAGGTATCCACGTATTCAATGCAACCATCATTAATATTAAGGGGTGGTACTAAATGCGCTGTTCTCGATCTGCTGAACATAATCGCCTTTGTCTTATTTACAGATATGTCAAGATGGAGTCTCCCTAGACAGTTTTCAAGTTGTTAAACCGCAGACTGAATCTTGTTCCTCGCTGCGAATGCATCATGATCCGCCATAAATAGCACAATATCATCCGCATATCCAAGTACTTGTACTTCGTTAGGTAAATCAGAAAAAACCTTATTGATATAAACATTAAAGCATATGGGGCTCAAAACGCATCCCTGTGGGACGCCAGTAAAAGATCTGCGTTCTGTAACAGTGAAGTCATTTATAACTTTTAAAATCTTCTGACGAAATAGTCAATAAATTATGTTACAAAATTCATTGGGGACATTCAGCTCCTGAAGCAGCAGGCAAAGGACTTCAATGTTCACATTGTCGAAAGCTCCTTTGATGTCCAGAAAATTGAGCATACTGACTTTTTCTGAAGAAACGCCAGATTCACTGCAGACCAGAGGGCAATTACATTATCGGTTGTAGATTTCGAACGTCGAAATCCCGACTGAAAAGGGCTTATATAATTATTTGACTCCAAAAACCACTCAAGACGCCAACATAGAATACGTTCAAATATCTTCCTCAGGGTAGGTGCCATCGCAATCGATCTGTAGGATGAGGCAACCGAAGACCATTCTTCTTCCTCAGAGGTATAATCTTGTAAGATGACCAGCAATCCGGAATCGTAGCAGACCGTAAGATCGAATTGAATTCATCAAGAATCCGAATCTTGATATCGGAACTGAGTAACTTAAGGTGACCGTTCCTAATACCACCATGACCTGGAGCCGTGTCCCTAGAAATCGTTATGGCATTATTGAGTTCAGAGTATGTAATGTTCTTCAATAACATATGATCTGTATCGTCAACAATTGGAAATAATATCCTATCCGGATCATTAGAAGGACCACATGGACCGGTTAGTTTATCACAGAATTCCTCGCAACATTCATTAAAAGCAGCGATGCCATCCATAAAGTTACCCCTAAAGCATCGGACTGTCCCCCAAAGTTCAGAGATTGTAATATTACTGTCTATATTAGAACAAAACTGCTTCCAGCCTTTTCTTTTCTCCCTACGGATGACATATTTATATGACTTCCTGACAGACGTTAATTTAGTAAAGTTCTCCATGGTTGGATTGGTACTACAAGAGGCAATCGCCCTTCGGAGATCAGCACTTACTTTATTACATTCAGTATTCCACCAGGGATTAGGATTCGATTTATTTCCATTTTTCGGCATTGTACCAAAAGTGTCGATAAATGTATCACTTAGCTTATCAAAGAAGTTGGAATTATTCGATGTGAAACTTGGTGAATGTAAAAGGTTATTTAATTTATCATTAAGCTTACTTTTATCTATTCTTCTTGGTGAAACCATGGAGGGAACAACAGTGTCCCTAGGTGAGGCAAATAGCAATATTTCCAATATACAGTGTACACTACCAAGAGATTCTCTTGAGACCTGCCACAAAGAATCCAAGGCAAGAGAAGGCGTAGCAATGGTCAGGTCAATACAGGAAGGTGTTCTCCCAAGGTAAGTATAATCTCCAGCAGAGATACAAGCCGATGGGAAATGATCGGCGGCGGCGGCGCAACCATTTTGGGTCGGCGGCGGCGGCTAAATTGTCGGCTCAATTTAACTTTTTCTTTAGAAATTGACCTTATAAGGTTTATTATATTGAAAAATCTTTGTATAATAGTCTGTTACATAGAAACCTGTCTCTATATAAGTTTTTTTTCCTCAGAAAATGGACATTTATAGTAGTTTTCACTATTTTAATATTAGCACAATATTGTGTGGCAACACTTTTCAATTTGCCATAAGAATTTAAAACAAAACACAAAACATCACAGCAGAGGACCTAGTAAAATGTAGTAATGTTTCCAGTTGATTGACTATCTGATCACAATTTGCATAATTTGGTGAGATATATATACTAAATATATATACCACTTGTTGTTGTTATCTCGCAACCGCATACTTCTATAGGACCAGGTGTATGTTGTAAATTCAATTTTTTAAAAGTAATATCCTTATGTATCACAATGGCAACTCCACCCCCACGAGTATTGCCGACACGATCAGAGCGAATTGTGTGAAAGTTATGAATATGGAAATTATCGTTAGAGTCCAAAAACGTTTCCGAGAGACATGCTACAGATACTCTGTTGGTATGGAAATATTGTTGAAATTGGTGTCTTTTATTGCGGATACTAGTGGAGTTATGTTGAATTATCTTCATGAATTAAAGTTTCCAAAATAGATTGGCAGAAGGATGAAATAAATTCGGAATCATTAGCCGATGCATT